CTTTGTCGCTGTTTGCGATTCCTTGTTTATTTACTTCCTGTTTTATTTTGGTAGGGGCCATCTTCTGTATCTTGCATTTCCTGTGATTGATCAGCATTAAAGCTGAGTTTTGAGTTTCCTCCGGTCTCCTGCATCTCCGTGGCGTCCACACCTGCAGGCTAAAGCTCCATCACGCAGAGAAGAGGCCAGATGTGACGACGGAGGCGAAACAGCGCCGTCTCCTCTGGACCAAAACGGATCTCTGACCCATCCAAACATGGACGCCGCGTGAAGAGCAGAGGGGTGTAAAATATTTTTGTATTTAAGAAATAAATCTTTTGTTCCCGTGGGTCTCACGGAGCCTCGTTTTTGAGGGAAAGTGTGTCGACTAAACCCGGCTTGGCTCCTGAACAACAATTTTCTAATCTGTTGTGCGGCGTGAACACGTCCTCCTCTCTCTGCCCCACTTTCCCTGCACGCTCCAACAGTTTGCACAGTTACTTCTTTTATGGCGTTTTCAGTGGGAGAGGGAAGCGTGCCAGTCTGTCGGCGCTGCAGTGGCCAGCTCGTTAATAACGCTCATCAGCATCGCTGGCGGTCAGACCTTCTCCTCAGCTCGTCATTTGTTTCCTCTTTGCATAAACCTCACATGGATGCACCCCTTCCTGCCCACGGTGCATTTACATGAGCAGGAAACCTGACACGAGGAGGCGTGTGACCAAACTGCAGAGCTGTGTGTCAGAAGGTGGATTAACACCTTCGGCTCAGCTCTGATGTTTCCTCACTCTTCATGTTTCACGTGACCGGTCAGACGTTTCTTTCCTCGCGCCGCCGTCAGCAGCCGAGCAGGAGTTTATGAAAACATGGGAGACGACAGACGTGACAGGTAGAGACAGACTCTCAGCTTTGGATCGCAGAAAAACTTCCTCCCATCAAATGTTTAAACTATGTGAATGTTTGTAGTTTTCCCAGAAGTCAGTCGTTGTCGTGGTGACGATGATTTTAATGATTTGTCTGTGATTTATGTCTGAAATCAGCCACAGACCTCGTGTTTGTTCAGTTAGTTTGGATTCGAGGATGAAAATCAGCTGACAGTGAAACTATTTGCAGAAAACGACTGAAGAGGATCATTAATGGCGTCTGCAGGTGTCTGTCAGACTCGAGGGTTTGAGACGGCGAGGTGACCTGAGGCTCAGGTGTGTCGCTTCGATCAGCCGAACATCTGTGACCTCCAGAGTGTTCACAGGTGCTCGTTCAGTCCTCGCCGTTTGTCCGGCCGTCACTCGGCCCGTGGCTCATTTTCACCCAGCACAGTGTTTTATCTGTGCTCACATTTACTTTCTGCTCCACTTTGCACTTTGCATGATTCACAGCTCAAAATAATCCTTCTTTAACTCAGAAACAAGCTGTTTTAGCTCCTCCCCCTTTAAGTCAAGCTTATTCTGATTGGCTGCCCCTCACAGACAGCGTTGAAGGCCTTGTTTCTGACAGAGGAGCTGGAGCTGCACAGAGCGTGATGATGGCTCCTCGCGAGCCTCAGCCCGGCTCGCATGAGTAAAAGCTGCTGCAGCTGAAGGAAACATGCAAACGAGCAAAACGTGACCAGCGTCACCATCCAGCGCTGTCGAGGCCCCGGGGGGGCGCACGGGGCGGGTCAGGTGTGTCTGTGTCTGTGGATGGTGGGGGCCACAGTCAGCTGTGAGCGGCCCACTGTGGAGATAATTATTCTGCTGCTGGACACCAATTAGTCCTTTGTTCTCTCTGTACAAGTGTGTGTGTGTGTGTGTGTGTGTGTGTGTGTGTGTGT